CCCCGCCCCCACCCCCACACCTGAGGTGCATGGAACAGCCTACTCCCTCCCGGTGGATTCTCCCTGGGCCTGGGGCCTGGCTCTGCACACGCTGCTGGTGTAGGGACTGTTCTTCCTGTATTAGCTGCTCCCTGTCTGAGTCACGTCGTGCTGTTTCCTGCCTCGCTCAGGGAGTCCTGAGGAGCCTTAGGGCCCACGTGATGCTTGGATTTGTGAATGTTCTGTTGAATACATGAGTGAAAACGGGGTGGCCTGGTCAGCAGTCAGGTCTCGGATGGCCTGAGGCTGGTTCTAACGGGCTGTCTCCTCGCAGGGCTCCTGCCTCGCTGAACGACACCAGCCTGCTGCACGACCCCTGCCTGGGGACCTTTGGGGGGCCTGTGTTCCCGTGGCTGGTGCTGGGAGGCTATGACGGTGAGTGAGAGAATAGTGGCCTTGATTGACAGTCCAGTGGAAGTCATCAAGGCTTTACACAATCAACACTTATATTAATCTCCTGTTTCTTCAATCCCAAATGCAATATCTCCTGTGGGTTTGGGTTTTTCTGGATTTGGGTCACACTTTAGGAAGCTGTTGAAAGTTAAGGGTGTGTCCCTGGAATAATGTAATTGCATACGTCACACAACATGCAGTGCAGCCTCAGGCACTCCCGAAACCCGGGGAGCCCACCAACCTGTAGGACCCCACAGGATCCGGGGACCTCAGGCTGAGAACCCCTGTGACGGGAAGAGACGCCGTGCAAGGTGGAGACCCAGAACACTGGTGGATTCTTTTCTTTCTAAACCAATTGGCTAAGAGCGCAGACACAGTTAAGGTAGGAGGAGCCATTGGCTGAGAGCGCAGACACATTTAAGGGAGGGGGAGCCATTGGCTAAGAGTGCAGACACATTGAAGGGAGGGGGAGCCATTGGCTGAGAGCGCAGACACATTGAAGGTAGGAGGAGCCATTGGCTGAGAGCGCAGACACATTGAAGGTAGGAGGAGCCATTGGCTGAGAGCGCAGACACATTGAAGGTAGGAGGAGCCATTGGCTGAGAGCGCAGACACATTGAAGGTAGGAGGAGCCATTGGCTGAGAGCGCAGACACATTGAAGGTAGGAGGAGCCATTGGCTGAGAGCGCAGACACATTGAAGGTAGGAGGAGCCATTGGCTGAGAGCGCAGACACATTGAAGGTAGGAGGAGCCATTGGCTGAGAGCGCAGACACATTGAAGGTAGGAGGAGCCATTGGCTGAGAGCGCAGACACATTGAAGGTAGGAGGAGCCATTGGCTGAGAGCGCAGACACATTGAAGGTAGGAGGAGCCATTGGCTGAGAGCGCAGACACATTGAAGGTAGGAGGAGCCATTGGCTGAGAGCGCAGACACATTGAAGGTAGGAGGAGCCATTGGCTGAGAGCGCAGACACATTGAAGGGAGGGGGAGCCATTGGCTGGCTCTTTGCTGGTCCCCCAGCACCTCAGGGTGGGTGCCCGGCCGTGGGTGCTGACTCACAGGGCGGCTCTGGCATCTGAAGCCTAATTACGGCAACTCGTGGGTTTCCCCCACCCTAATGCAGAGGCGGGATGTCTCCTAAGCCCTGCTCTGCCCGTAATAAAGTGCCATTTCTGTGGTGGGAAAGACGGCACCAGCTTGCTAGTCACAGCCGTCAATTAAATTTGATCTCTACCTTATTCCTTCCACCAAAATACATTCCAGATGGACCCCAGGTTGAAATGTAGGAAGGGAAACTATAAAGGATTAGAAGACAATACAGGAGGAATTTTTAAATGGAGAAGGCATTTCTAGCAAGATAAAACTCAAGGCCGCCCCAGGAATCACTGATGGATTTGACTACGTGAGAACTTTAAATTCCTACATGGAGAGCAAACGCCATAAGGTTTTAAAAAATAAAAGCAATAAACTGGAGAAAAAAATAGTATACATAATAGCATTTCTTTAATATATAAAGAGCTCTTGTGTAAAAAGAGAAAAGGAGGGAAGCCATATGACAGTTAACATTACAGAGGGGACATGCTCCACCCACTCCTAGGCAGTGACGGGCACTCACCTCAGTCTTCCTGCCTCACAGGTGAGCACAGGGCTGGGAGCTCGGAACCGGTGGGTGACGGCGGGGAAGCCACAGGTGGGGCGTGTGAACTGGGGCCTAGAGTATAAACTCCAGGAAAAGGCAGGGGTCTCATCTCCTTTGTTCACTGATGTATCCATGGTACTTCAGTCCTGCCGGGTACTAAAGTGTCTCAGTAAATATTCTGTTGAGTGAAAAATAGGGTAGAATTTTGGTGGGCAATTTGGGAGAATCAGTCACAATTAGAAATGCACAAACGTTTTGACTCGGTGATTGTAAGAATTGATTCTACAAATATGTACTTTGCATATTAAAAATAGAAGGTTAGTCCTTGTAGTAACTTTGTTGATGATTTTAAAAACTAAAAATATCCATCAGTGGGAGGTTGGTTACATTATACTAGACAATATTGTACAGCAGAAAAAAGAATAAGGAAGCTCTTTCTGTACTAAAAGGAAACAGCCTCAAGATACAAACGTAAAAGCATGATGTGCAGACTAGTACGCGGCTATTGTATAAAAGAGAAGGGGGGGGGTATGTGTGCTTGTGCCTCTGAGGAGCGTCCTGGCAGGAGTCCCAGGATGGGCAGGGCCAAGAGAGAGCAAGGAGAGGAAGGAGAGGGACGCTCACAGCCCCGCTCGGCTCTGCTGGGATGTGTGCTGCGGAATAAATAAAAGGGCGTCTTCCCGAACGGCAGTGTGTGCTGCTTCCACAGAGAACCCGTTTCATTTGTTCTCCACGTTTCGCAGGCACCGTTTCAGGAACTGCTGTTCCGAGCGTGCTGGGCGTGGTCTGCAGCCTGGGGAGAAGTCGCCAGCTGTCCCGTCACTGCCCCTTGCACTGACCTACTTTTCTGCAAGCTGGTAACCTTGTCGATGTCACATTTTTCCTTTCTAGATCAAAACTACAATAACGCCACCGCCCTGGTGATGACCTTTCCTGTCAATAATTACTACAACGACATGGAGAAGCTCCAGCGGGCCCAGGCCTGGGAAAGAGAGTGAGTGCTCGCAGGGTGTGTGGGAAGCTGGGCACCAGCAGAGACCACCTGTGCCTCCTCCACTAAACTAACCCTCCACCACCCGCCCCCACCCGCATCTGAGTGATGTCTTTTCACTCACTACCAGTGAGATCTGTGAGTAAACGTACCTAAAAACATTGTTTGAACAGATCTCCCTACACAAAAGTGTACATGCAGAAACTTTTCCTTCATCGTGTTCTAACAGCAAAAACGGGGAGCTAGCTGGATGTACGTTATTAGGAAGGGATACGTAAGTCGAAAGTGCGCAGTCGTTCAGACAGGTGGTAAGTGGTTCGAGATGCACTAAATAAACTCGCAGTCAGCACGGGTAAGTGAGCATATGCTGCCCGCGCCGCCCTCGCCCAGGAAGCTGTCCAGGCCGGCGTCACCGTGTCTGCGCCTCCAGGGAACGGGGTGACGTGAGGAGGACGGGCTGTGACTCTCCCTTCATCATCTGCATCAAGTGCATTCTCCTAAAAAGCAGCTTTACTGAGACTGGTCCACACCATACATTTCGCTCCCTTAGTGAGAGCGTTCAGTCCAGCAGCTTTAGTATATTCACAGATGATGTGCAGCCGTCACCACAGCCAATGGTAGGGCGGTCTTCACCTCAGAACGCAGCCCCGCCCCTTTAGCGACCACCCCCACCCTCTCGTCCTCCCCTCCCAGCCTGTGCAGCCACTGACTGCTTTCTGTCTCCATGCACTTTCCTATTCTGGACTTGTCTATATTCATGTAATCGTGTGTGAGATTCTGTGTCTGGCATCTTCCATGTAGCACAATGTAGTCAAGGTTAATCCAGGCTGTGGCACGTGACGGTCCGTCCGTGGACATAGCGGGTTCTGGTATCCATTCACCCGCCGAGGCAGGCGGGCGGTTGCTCCTGTGACTGCTGCGAATAATGCTGCTGTAGACATTTGTGCACGAGCGTCTGTGGGAACTTTTTATTTCTCTGGGTGTGTGCTACGATTAGGATGGGAGGGCCACATGGTCACTCTGAGGAACTGCCAGCTGGTTTTCCAAAGGGACTGCACCACTTTCCGTTCCCACTGCAGTGTGTGGCGGTTTCATGTTCCCCGTCCTTGTCAGCACAGCCTTGTCGGGCTGTGATGTGGTTCCCTGGTGCCTGACGAATTCTAGCATCTCTTCACGCCCTTACTGCCTCTGCATTGCCTCCTCAGAGAGGTGTTTATTCATATTCTTTATCCTTTTTTTAGCTGGTCATTTGTATTTTTATGATTGAAGTATAAGAATTCTTATATAGTCTACAAGTCCCTTATCAGATAACATGATTTCCAAGTATTTTCTCTCATTTTTTGGTTTTGGGTTTTTTGCTTTCTTGACAGTGTTCTCTGAGACACAGTCGTTTTTAACTTTGATGAAGCCCAGTTTATTCATTTTTTCTTTTGTTGCTCGTGCTTTTTGTGTCATGGCTGGGAACCCTAACCCCCGGATGTGCAGATTTATGTCTGTGCTTTTCTAAGAGTTTTATTGTTTTAGCTCTCACATTAGGTCTTTGGTCCTTTCGAGTTCATTTTTGGATATGGTGTGAGGTAAAGGTTCAGCGTTCTCTTGCGTGTGGCTATCCAGTTGTCCCAGACCATTTGTGGAAAAAGTTAGTCTTTTCCGCCGTTTGCTCCTCTGTTGAGAAGTAAGTGGACTCTGGTTCTGCTCCTTCGCTCTGAATGTGTAGCCTGGCGCGGGCAGTGCACTCCTGTTCACTCTTGTTTAGTGATGAGTTTGAAGTCAGGACATGCGGACCCTCCTGCTTGTTCTTGAAATAAATAACAGGTTTAGCTCTTCTGGGCCCCTTGCGATTCCCTGGGAATTTTAGCATCAACTCACCATCCTGCAAAGGAGTCAGCCAGGTTCTGATAGGGCTTCTTTAACCTGTGATCAGCTTTTAAATTATACTCCACAAGCATGTATCTTTATCACAGTGCACAGACTTCACTTAGAAATCTTTTTAGTAAAAAGAATGAGACCAGGAACCGATTTCCGAATTTGTTCCAAACCGATTTAAATGGCAGAAAACTCAGCATGTCTGCACTGTCTCCCTCCCGTCTCCAGCAGAGACGATCTGAGTGCAGATAAGGCTACGTACACGTGGCTTTTGTCGGAGAAGCTGGGGTGACTCGGTCGTCCCCATATGCCAGGGCTCAGTCCTCAGGGCTCACACAGGAATCAACCCACGAGTGTGCGAATAAGTGGAACAACAAGTCAGTCTCTCCTTTCCTCTCTAAAAAAGTTAATAAATAAAAATTTAAAAAACTTTTTTTAAAAGTTGGGAAGAAGTCCCTCACTTTGCTTTCACTCAGTTTTAACTAAAAATATAAACTTCTTCGTACTCTTTAGGTTTATTAACTTTGTGAAAAACTACAAGAACCCAAATCTCACCATTTCCTTCACTGCTGAGCGAAGTATTGAAGATGAACTAAACCGTGAGAGTAACAGTGACATCTCCACCGTGGTGACCAGCTATGCCGTCATGTTTCTGTACATTTCCATCGCCTTGGGGCACATCCAGAGCTGCAGCAGGCTTCTGGTGAGGGTCTGTGGTGTGGAGATGTGGGTGTCTGTGTTGTTAGGAGTGGAGGGTGCAGCCTAGGCCCTATTTTTGCCTCTTAATTTATCATGTTCAAACCTGCCTCAAATTCCCCTGTGCTTTTTTAGTTGTATGTAACATTCCCTATTCCCTGCATTTATTTTCCTCAGTTCCAACTTTTTGGATTATCTTCAACTTAAAATTAATTTCACATGGTCCAAGTTTTTCTAATTTGTCTACTTATCACCTAAGAATGGAAGCTCATAATATAACTTCTTTAGGAAGACCTAAACAATTTTTCTTATTTTTTTCTCAAACTGGGAGTTGAGCTTTTAGCTCCAGATGGGCCATCCCATGTGGCGGGTGGAGACGAGGACTTTAGTGGCAGGTCGGACAGGGCGTGCTGACAGCCGGCGTCTTTGTTGTGTCTCAGGTGGATTCCAAGGTCTCCCTCGGCATCGCGGGCATCTTCATTGTGCTGAGCTCAGTGGCCTGCTCGCTGGGCATCTTCAGCTACGTTGGGGTCCCCCTCACCCTCATTGTGATCGAGGTCATCCCCTTCCTGGTGCTGGCGGTCGGGGTGGACAACATCTTCATTCTGGTCCAGACCTACCAGGTGCGTGTCATGTCTCACGGAGTGTGGCAGCCAAGGGCGAGCTCCATGAGCGCTGCCCGGCTCCACGCAGAGTGTGTGTGCGGACACTCAGACACCTCCTTCCCTCTGTGGCACCCGTCACTTGTTCTGCATATTGGGGACCAAGAAGTTCACCCCCTCTTTGGTTGGTATGATAAAGTGAGAATCTGGTTTTAAACATGTTCAATACAGAGTGTCCCAAAAGAATGTGTATGTACACACTTTAACAGCTGATTCTATTACGTTTGAAAATGAAGTGTATTTTTAAAAACACTGCCTTTATAATTATCGAAAGTGTGCGCATACATTTTTGGGGACACCCTCTACACATGCAAAAAGGGCTGACGGGCTGTGGAGAATACTTTGGGTGCAAGTGCTATGGAATGATTCTCCGCATAGCGTGGAAGGAGAGACTGTCAGGGACCACTAACAGGACGCAGGTCAGCACAGGACCCGCCAGGTAGAAAACGGTCTCCATCACTGCTCTCACCTGGCCCCGCCTTGTCCGTAGCCTTCCCTGCGTGGGACTCAGTGGCCGTAAGTGGTACGTCATTTCACCATCGGCCGCCTGCAGCCTGCACCCCATGTACTTTCCTCAAAAGTGACCCAACCTTTGCTGGAGCCTCGCCTGTCACCTCGCCCAGAAGTCGGGAACACCCTGAGTGAACTAGCCTGAGACCTGCCGGGTCCCCCACCAAAGATTACGTTCAATCCGTAGATGCCACTAACCATTTTCCTTTACTGTTAACACAGAAGCAAAGCGGTGGCGTGGTGACTGAGAAACGTTCATGTTGCGTGCTTGATTTTTTTAAAGAGAGACGAACGCCTTGAAGGGGAGACCCTGGACCAGCAGCTGGGCAGGGTCCTGGGAGAAGTGGCCCCCAGCATGTTCCTGTCGTCCTTTTCAGAGACGGTGGCCTTTTTCTTAGGTAATCGGCTGCAGCTGCTGGGGAGGAGGCTGGTGTGTGACGTGCCCCCTCTGCTCTTCCTTCTTGAGCTGCCCTGAGCGGGGAGGTGCCATGTGGACGCCGGAGAGCGTGGGACAGGTCCTGGTGTCCGTTAGCCAGTGTCTTCTTTCTGCGTCTTCCAGGCGTGTCTCTCTTGGGGTCCAGGTGCCTAGGACTCCTCTGCCACTTCCCCTGTCTGGCACCCACGGCAGATGTTGGTATTTGAAAATAGCTTCTCGCACAACCACGGGTTCCTCAAAACAGCCCTCCAGGCAGCAGCTGCAGGGCACGTACGCTGTTGTCCGGGCAGTCGTCCTGTGCACGCGCTCATGGGACCAGCGTGGTGATAAGCTGGGTTCTCGGGTCTTTCCTCAGCTCAAGGAGCTGGAACAGAACCAGCACTTTCACAGTCCTTCCTCCTGGGAAGTCAGCCAGTCCTGGGGCCGCTGTCTCTGCCCGCCTCTGGCGTGTAGTGAGAGAACGGCTCATCCTCTGGAGAGGAGGCCGGTCAGGCTCGCCCAGAAGTCAGAGAAGACACAGCCCACACATGCCTGCGGGCCACCAGGCCTTCACGGCGAGTAGGAGCCTCGCAGGGGCAGCCTCAGCACGGACACATCAGCTTCCATTCCCATGGAGCCCTGAGCCCTGCGACCCGCGGCCTGAGCTCCTCTCACGGTGCAGGTGCAAAGCAGCTAGTTCTCCTCTCAGCTCCAGGGCGAGACCCAAGGCGAGTGGGAGGGTAGGCGCAGCTGCTGCACCTCAGGCGAACACGGGGAGACATGGTGGAGGCTGCGGGGCAGGTCCAAGCCCGCGTCCTGTCCTGTCCAGTGTGTCGCTGGCCCAGTGCTGCGGGGCAGGTCCGAGCCCACGTCCTGTCCTGTCCAGTGTGTCGCTGGCCCAGTGCTGCGGGCAGGTTCTTCCTCAGCAGCACTGAGAAGCAGACGCACTGTAAACGTGGGCTCCTGGTTTTATCGTCTAAGTGCTTTACGTTAAGATGGTTTATAGGGTGTGGGCCAAGCAGGCTGCAGTGCCTGTGGGCCCGGAGTGGCCAGCTTCAGTGAGTCTGAGCCGTGCTGTGGGCGTGGAGCTCCCTCATGTGGCTGTAAATACACAGAGAGCCTGATGTTGGTGTGACAGCAGATGGGAACGTGTCCCTCTTACGAGGGCAGGGAGGGCACCGTAAGAATGGCCTGTGCTAGTGGCTTTCAAGTATTGATGTGCATGCATTGGCTCAGAGAGCCTATGAAATACTCGGGAATTGGGTTGAAGTCCACTGTCTGGTTAAGCAGGATGGGGCCGAGCCCAGGAACCTGCATGTTAACTCCCAGGTGGTTCTGATGCTGACAGCCTCTTCTCAGCTCGGGTACCCTCCCGAGACCAGCACCCTTTGGGGGTGGGGGGAGGGGAGCAGCTCCTCGTGTTCTATGGACCCGGGAGCGTGTGATGCGCCAGCGCCCTCTGCGGTGAGTGGCAGTGATGACCGCCTCCCTCCCACCCACCTCCCCAGGAGCCCTGTCGGTGATGCCCGCCGTGCACACCTTCTCGCTGTTTGCCGGGATGGCCGTCCTCATCGACTTCCTGCTCCAGATCACCTGCTTCGTGAGCCTCCTGGGGTTGGACGTCAAGCGTCAGGAGGTGAGTTGTTACCAGATTGCAGGCTGTTCCACCTGCGTCTGGAGTCTGACTCGCTGGAGGGCATGACCTTTGCTCCCTTTGTCCCTCAGAACAACCGGCTGGACATCCTGTGCTGTGTCCACGGCGGCGAGGATGGCGCCGGCCTCCAGGCCTCCGAGAGCTGCTTGTTCCGCTTCTTCCGAGACTCCTACTCCCCACTGCTGCTCAAGGCCTGGATGCGGCCGATCGTGGTGGGAACTCACTGGGTTTCCTTCCTGTTTTCTCCCGGCACAGACTCTGTCCCGCGCCTCCTAAGAACCGCACGCATGGGGGTCCGACAGCTGTCAGCTGCGTGTGCAGAAACAAAGCTGATACGGACAAATACGTACTAGTAAATGCTTATTTTTTTAAATATATTTTTATTGATTTCATAGAGGAAGGGAGAGGGAAAGAGATAGAAACATCAGTGTTGAGAGAGAATCATCAATCAGCTGCCTCCTGCACGCCCCCTACTGAGGATCGAGCCTGCAACCTGGGCATGTGCCCTGACTGGGAGTTGAACCCTGACCTCCTGGTTCATAGGTCAATGCTCAATCGCTGAGCCACGCTGGCTGGGCCGTAAATGTTTTTAGCTATTTTTTTGCAGTCAGTGTAAGCAAGAGCTTTTGTTTTGAGTTTTTATTTTGGAATAATTAGAGGTTGAGTTGCAAGGTACAGAGGGGCCCAGATTCCCTTCGCCCAGTTCCTCCTGTGTCTCACGTAGTTGTAATTCAGTCTCAAAACCAGGACTTGGACTGGGCACAGAGGGCGGGTCTGGTTCCTGTCCTTTTATCCCACGTGAAGATTCATGGACCTGCCACACAGTGAAGATCCGTAACCGGGGGTCTCCCGTGCTGCCCCCTAAGTGTCGGCCCCCCTCCCGCCCCCGCAGCACCTCGATCTCTGGTCCTCGCGGCCAGCAGAGCTGTTTATAGTTTCTCTGTGGGATGTGGCCCCAGCTGCTGTCTGTCACTGCTCCACTAAGAGAACGTTAGTTTCCAGTGACGGTGGGAGGAAGAGCAGCTGTGGCTCCCTGAGCACTGGTGTCAGGTGCTGCGCTGAAGTCTAGATCATGCCTGTATTTTCCTCGTTTCGTGGGCGAAACTGGCTGGCGTTCGAGTCTTCGTTTCCCTGGTGTGTTGAGGAGATGGGAGCTAAGAGGCTCAGTGCTTCCCCGTGTCCCCTGCGTGCGGAGGGGCCGCCGGGAGCCGGGTGGTCCGACTCTGGACACCCGTCCTCCGTGTGCTGGGCGTGCCGTTCAGGCTTGCTGTCCAGTGTGGGGGGCCGGTGCTCTGTGTGCGGAGCCTCACTCAGCTCCTTGTAACCAGCAGTGCTTCTGTGACCCACCCCGTTCCAGATGGCCGTGTTCGTGGGCGTTCTCTCCTTCAGCATCGCCGTCCTGAACAAGGTGGAAATTGGATTGGACCAGTCTCTCTCAATGCCAGAAGTAAGATGCCTTTATTTTAACGTACTCATTTTAACTTACTTTATTTTAACTTTGGATACATTTCCAAACGTGCACACAGGTGGTTCAGGTTAATGCCTGCTGTGCCTGCCAGTGCTGACGGGGCCTCCTGTGACCTCAGCTGCCACAGGCTGTGCCGGTGGGGCCTGGCACTATGAGCCCAGACAGTGCTGGGCACAGCACAGGTGCGAGCAGCAGGCTGACCCTGTGAGGTGCCCTCCTGACAGCGGGACCTGCGGGAGCACCAGAGCCCAGGAGGGTGGGAACGGGACCAGCTATGCAGGGAGTCCTGACTGGGCCTCATCAGGCGCCCTCAGCACGCCCACATTCTTCCTGCTGCCTCTTCTTCCAGGACTCCTACGTGATGGACTATTTCAGGTCCCTCAGCCAGTTCCTGCACGCGGGCCCACCCGTCTACTTCGTGGTGGAGGAGGGGCTGGACTACACATCCCTGCAGGGGCAGAACCTGGTGTGCGGGGGCATGGGCTGCAACAACGACTCGCTGGTGCAGCAGCTGTTCGACGCGGCCGAGCTGGATGCCTAGTGAGTACCGGTCCCCCGGCTGCCTGATGAAAGTCCTCCCTGAAAAGATATTTTCTCGGGAAATGAGGTTTTGAGAACATATGCTAACTTGAGCCTTCCCTGAGCAAAGCCTTTAGAGGACTAACGTACCGCCTGGGCCTCAGGGTTCCAGAAGGGCCAGTGCAGTGTCCTTCCGCCCGGCAGCAGCGTTGAGTGCAGCCAGGAAGCTGGGTGTCACGAGCAGGGCCGGGCCTGGGGCTCCCGGGGCAGGCAGTCACGCTCCTTTCCCCCCAGCACCCGGATCGGCTTCGCCCCCTCGTCCTGGATCGACGACTACTTCGACTGGGTCAAGCCGCAGTCCTCGTGCTGCCGGGTCCACAGCAGCTCCGGGCAGTTCTGCAACGCCTCGGGTACGTCGCCCCCAAGTCTGTCCTGCTTTTCTGAAAAGCGTGGTGACGTGGAAATCGCGTGGCACTCACCTCCGCGTGTGCCCACTCCCTGCCTGCGCTGGGTCTCCTCCCTCAGTGTCCCCCCAGGGCTGCAGGCTGAGCCAGGCCTGAGTCAGGAGCTCTGCTTTCAGAGTTGGGGTTTCTCGTCTTTTCCGACGACACCGGTCGCCCCCTGCTGGGTATCGGCCATCTGCTCTGTGGCTGCCCTGTGGTCACTGAGAGTCGAGGTTGTCCCACTGTTTCCTTGATAAACACATGGGAGCCCTGGCTCTGTGATGCCCATAAGGCCCCTTCACGCAGGGCAGGACGTGTTACAGCCAAGATGGAGGTGGCATCTCAGTCAAATGCGTCCGACTGTGAAACTCACAGAAGCTTGAGCTTTTGGATAAGGAAAAGGATTCAGGAAAAGATACTCATAAATGTTTTAAAGTGAAATCTGGAGACCCATTCTCTTCTCCTTGGCTCCTTCCTCATTTCTGCTAGTGGCCGACCCTGGCTGCATCCGCTGCAGGCCTCTGACTCCCGAGGGCAAACAGCGGCCCCAGGGGGGAGACTTCATGCGGTTCCTGCCCATGTTCCTCTCCGACAACCCGAACCCCAAGTGTGGCAAAGGGTAAGTGAGCCCGTGGATGTGCACCCACCTGTTTGCACAGAAAACTTGGGGAGGGCGGGGGAGCCACAGTGTGTGGGAGAGGCTCTCTTTCCACCCCTCCTCACCCTTTCCTGATCTCTGGGAGAGAAAGAAACCCCAACACCTTCCAGGAAGCTCCTCTCTGTCTCCAGCCGACTGCATCTTGGCTGGGCACTTGCTCCCTGGGCATCTCTGTCCGGCCCTCCTGCTGGTCTGTTCCGTGTCTGTGGGCGCAGGGGCCAGTGTCTGCTCGGGTGAGGTCATCCTAGGTCCGTGGTCGGCAAACCGTGGCTCGAGAGCCACATGTGGCTCTTTGGCCCCTTGAGTGTGGCTCTTCCACAAAATACCACATACGGGCGCGCATGTACAGTGCAATTGAAACTTCGTGGCCCATGCGCAGAAGTCGGTATTTTGTGGAAGAGCCACACTCAAGGGGCCAAAGAGCAGCATGTGGCTCACGAGCCGCAGTTTGCCGACCACTGTCCTAGGCTAAGGCTTAGATGGTTTGGGCCCCACTGTGCTGCTCCCCAGCCTGTGCCTGCAGCCAGGCTGCTGTCCCCACAGAAGTAGGACGTCTGGCCTGGAGATGGGGATCCCGAGGGGGGGAGGGCAGGGGGGAGGGCGGCTCGGGAGCTGTCGTAGGAGAGGATGCGTGTCAGGTAGGCCTGGACGTCCTGTTTTCTCCCGGGAATACAGATTGGTCCCGAGTCCATCCCTCGTTAGTCACGGAGAGCACGTCTGTTCTGAGACCTGTCCCAGGCTCTGGGAGTGAAGTAAATAGAAACGGACCTTGCGTCTGGGTCTGTGTGCAGACTGAGTCTGTCCTACACAGAAGGAGCCCTGTGAGCTCAGCCTGCACGAAGCAGTGGCCACCCCTCTGTGCCGTGTCCTGCAGGCACCACCACCTCATTCCCCAGCTCGCCACGCGGCCGTGTCGGCGGTGTGCCCGTCCGCAGAGACGATACTGCGCCCAAATGCAGGGGCTCTGCCGAGGGTTCCGGGCCACTCTGCAGGCTGACCTCACGTGGCCTCACTCCACGGCCTTCCTTCCCCACTTCCTGTTTCACATCATTGCTGAGCAGACTCATATGAAAACGCATTGGCTGCAAGCAGAGCCAGATGAGAAACAGTAGCAGCTGTGCACCAACCAGCCAGGGTGGGGAGAAGCCAGAGGGAGGCAAGAGCCAGCCCTTCAGCGTCCCCACGAGGGCCTGCCCTGCGCCCAGCCAGCGGCTCTCCTGTGCCTGTGTGGACTCTGACACCACTGTCTTCTCTCAGGGGACATGCTGCCTACGGGTCGGCCGTTAACATCCTGGGCAATGACACAGGTGTGGGCGCCACCTACTTCATGACCTACCACACCGTGCTCCAGACCTCTGCTGACTTCATCGACGCCATGAGAAAGGCCCGGCTCATTGCTGGTAACATCACCCAGACCATGAGCCAGGGAGGAAGCAACTACCGCGTATTTCCATACAGGTGGGTGTGGCTTGTACACGTGGGGTGTCCTAGGGACGGGCCACACCTGTCCGGCAGGGGACAGCCCTCGCCTGTATGGCAGGGGACGGCCCTCACCTGTCCGGCAGGGGACGGCCCTCACCTGTATGACAGGGGACGGCCCTCGCCTGTATGACAGGGGACGGCCCTCACCTGTATGGCTGGGGACGACCCTCACCAGTCCGGCAGGGGACGGCCCTCACCTGTCCGGCAGGGGACGGATGTTTTTCTGGGACAAGCTCTCAGAGGGGTGTCCTGATTCCTGGGAAGAGCTGTGAACTTGGCAGAAAACCAGTTCTCCTCTGGCCCTGCACTGCCCCATTGGCCTGAGATAATTTTGGGATAGAGCAGAACTTGTTTTTTCAAAATACCCTGGAATAGTCTTTGTACATGCCTGCAAAGCAGGGTAGGCTGGGATTATGAACAAAAACTTTATATAAAAGACGGGCATAGGGTCATTGCTAGGCCTGGGGGGCAGTGGTCATCGCAGGCCCGCTGAATCGCTGCCCCGAGTCCTGCTACCCCGGGGGTGTTCTGCACGGCTCTGCTGCCTGCTCCTGGGATGGCATGGCGGCAGGAGGGGGTGGAGCTTCCAGGGAGGACGGCTGACGGTCTCCCCCTCCCCACAGTGTGTTCTACGTCTTCTACGAGCAGTACCTGACCATCATAGAGGACACCGTCTTCAACCTCTGCGTGTCCCTGGGGGCCATCTTCCTGGTGACCGTGGTGCTGCTGGGCTGCGAGCTGTGGTCTGCGGTGATCATGTGCGTCACCATCGCCATGATCCTGGTCAACATGTTTGGTGTCATGTGGCTGTGGGGCATCAGCCTGAACGCGGTCTCCCTGGTCAACCTGGTCATGGTGAGTCCTGGGTCACTTCCTGGGGCCCGTTTCCAGGAGAGACGGCCCAGCTCTCATCTCCTTGCACATGGAGGCGGGGCCACAGGCGGGTGAGTGGGACTGGACGTCACGTGCACCAGTGGAGTGTGATGTCATGGCCTAGCGTGGCAGGTGTTCTGCCTTTATTATTCTGTACGGTTTGCAAAAACAGCCTAATGATGGCAACAAGGTCACTTCTTATTTAGAAATATTGCCCCCTCCCTGGTGGAATTCTCGGACCAATACCTTTTGCTTCCCAGAGTTAATAATTAATTAGTCTTGATGCTGGGAGCGTTCAAGCAGGTATTAACAGAAAGTAGCAGCAGTCCATGTTCTTCAGATGTGGCCACTGCGTCAGGCGGAGTGGCCCGTGCAGGGCGTGGGGGGTGCCTGCTTCCTGAGACAAGCAGACATGCTGTATGATCCGGGGCGCTGGGCGCCTCCGAGGGTCCCACCAGTCCCCAGGGCATTCAGGCTGGTGTCACGGGGCTTCTCAGTGCTCGTCCGCGCGGATTCTTAGGGCCCTCCCCCGGGGTGCCCTGGGAAGGGGTGGCTGCCTGTGGTTTCAGCCAGAAACGGCGGGTCGTAAAGGAGGCACTTCCTTGCAGAGCTGCGGCATCTCGGTGGAGTTCTGCTCCCACATCACCAGGGCCTTCACAGTGAGCCCGAAGGGCAGCCGCGTGGCGCGTGCAGAGGAGGCGCTCTCCCACATGGGCAGCTCCGTGAGTAACGGGACGCGGGGGTGTCAGTGTGGACTGAGCACTCGGCCAGCCAGTGCTCAGGAGGGAATCTGCACCCTCTGCTTAGCAGCAGCTCCTGGGGTGACGAGGTTCCAGGCAGTTCATGAAATAGCTGTACCCGGCTTCTTTACCATGTTCCTGTGGGTGAAAGCTCTTGGGGCGGCCGAAGCAGGAAGAACAGGGTGGATGTGAGCGAGCAGGAGCCTTGGCCACGAGCCCAGGCCAGCGATGGGCGGGCAGCAGGTCCAGTGAGCGGTCTGTCCTGTGTCTGCAGACTCTCACCCCACACCCTGGTTTAACCCACCAACCACTTGCTACTGAAGAGGGACTGTTACCGAGTAACACAAACCCGTTTTGTAACCATTTTATACTTAAACTGGTTTTCAACGGAAAATATTAAGAAATGTATGAATAGTGTCTATGCAGAAACATAGCTTTTTCCCTTGTACACCGTCTTTGTTCCAGGCTCACAAGCAGTACATAAAGCATTTTAAGTTGCACATCATGTACTTAGCAGGAACTCTGAAAGCTGGGCCTCAGGCCCCCATGACTTTTGACCTTGACTGTTGAGAAGTCCCTGTATGAGGAAATGTGCACTTATGATTGGGGACTAGAGCAGGTCTAACACCCTCTCTCTTTCAGGTATTCAGTGGAATCACACTTACAAAATTTGGAGGGATTGTGGTGTTGGCCTTTGCCAAGTCTCAGATCTTCCAGATATTTTACTTCAGGATGTACCTAGCTATGGTCTTGCTGGGAGCCGCGCACGGGCTGGTCTTCCTTCCTGTCCTCCTCAGCTACATAGGTGAGCTGTCTGACCTCAGGGAGGGGTGGGAAGCCTGCGGCCACAGGAGACAGGTGCCTAAAGCAGCTCTGACGGATCTGAACTGTGCTGATGGGTCATGTACAAGTGGGACTGAGTGAGCGGTCTCAGAAGACTCATGTCCCCGCACCTCAGTGCGCGGCCAACACTGCCTGGGCGGCCGGCCTGGCTGAACAGGCCCTGAGGGCCGGCCGGGAACGAGTTTGAATGTCGGCCCAGGCAGCGCCGCCTCCACTGAGACGCGTGGCCACAGCCCGCAGTGCGGCTGAGCAGTGTCCCCAGCTCTGGTCCAGCAACAGGCCTCTGCCGCCCCCTCACTTCCATCCGTCCTGAGGATGCTCTTTGGCTGCCATGACGACTCCTGGTTGAAAGAACAGGACTGATTTGCTTGGTTGATAGCAGGGATGGGGAACGTCGGGCGCGAGGGCCGTATAAGGCCCGTGCAGTCATTTGGTCTGCCTCTGCCAAGGCATTAGGGGCAAGTTAATCGCCTGACCAAGCCGGCCAGCATGGCTCAGTGGTTGAGCATCAACCTATGAACCAGGAGGTCACAGTTGAACTCCCAGTCAGGGCACATGCCTGGGTTGTGGGCTTGATCCCTAGTAGACTGATGTTTCTCTCTCTCCCTCTCCCTCCCTCTCCGAAATAAAAATAATATACATTTAAATGCTAATTTTTAAGTTGATAATTTTGTATGGCCCACGAATGATGTTACAAATATCCAAATGGCCCTTGGCAGAGAAAGGTTCCCGACCCAATTTATAGCTTTGTAACCAAGTGGAAGCATTGAAATAGGTGGAGAAACCTCCTAAAGAAATGACACAGCTTCTTTCTCCTTCCCAGGGCCATCCGTAAATAAAGCCAAAAGCCTGGCCACGCAACAGCGACACAGAGGCACAGAGAGAGAGCAGCTCAATTTCTAGCCCCTCACGGGGCCTGGGGACTTGGAACTGTGTCTGCGGGTCGGTCAGTTCCCTGGTGGAAGGAGCTGCGTTGTCAGGTTAAGTTGAACACGGGACGTCACCAGACTCAGGCGATGGATCTGACAGCAGCCGCTCTGGCCACGCGCCTGTCCACTCAGGAATGTGTTACTAACCCTGGAGGCAGCCCTGGACGCGTCTCCAGTTCGCCCGGCATGAAACCCGACTCTCAGCGAGGGAAGGTTGACACTGGATGCTGTGGAGGCGCTCGGCTCCCTGGCCGTCGTGAAGGCCAATCAGTGCAATACTGCTCCTTTTTGAGGAGTGAGCCACCACACAAATTCCACCGCATTTTTAGTAACATTTGAGGATGTTGCAGGTACTTTATTATAGTATTTTGTAGTTTAAAGAGCTTTATTAATGCAATAAATTAACTTTATACATTTTATATATATAAAAACGAGCGTGTGATTTCAGAGCGTCGTAGGCTTCATGAGAGCTTGGTCTCCAAAAACCTGTTTGAAAAAAGCCACGTGCTCTTCGCAGTGTTCTCCTGGGGGCACAGAGGGAAGCAGGGTGAGCACAGCCGCTCCCAGGTGCTGGGTCTAACTTACTCTCTCCCATAAGCACTCTGTTCCTCAGCTTCTGGACTGTCCTTTCCGTTCTCAGAGCTCACGCCTCGGCACACCTGGTCAGGGCCCTCATCGCCCCCAGCACCCACGGTGGGGGCTGACCTGCCGTGGTCCCAGTGCCCTGACTCCGAGCTGGCAGAGCTGGGAGACCTGCAATAAGGTTGCCTGCTCCTCCCCACCTTGGATCTCATGCCTTTGGACGACATCAGATGACTTGCCCATGTTTCCTGCCTGACACAGAAACATTAATAAGCCCCAGGCCCCTTTAAAGCCTCAGGCACCGGTTCCTGTCCAAGAGCAGCTGTCAGACCTGGGCTGGCTCAGACCCTGGATCGGCCTGCATATGCTTCTCCTCCCCAAACACTTCAAGTTCCGGATCAGTTAGGTCCCCGGGCACTCGGAGTTCACTCCACTACGAATGACGGGCTGAGGGCGAGGCTGGCTGTTGTGACTGTTTAAAACCGAACTCAGGAGTTCTAACCGAGGGCTCCTGGCCCACCCGCTGCCGGGGTCGTCCTGCCAGGAGCCTGCAGCTGCCCAGGCCTACTCACGGCTGCGTCTCTCACCTGGGGTGAAACTGGGGTTCCCCCGTAAGCGCTGGTTCCGCTGCTCGAAGAAGCGGAAGATGGTGTAGAAGAGCATGCGGTCTTCGGTCTGCTTTGCAGCATCCAGGAACTTGCGTGCAGAGACGCTGTCGTGGCCCCCGACGCCCCGGAGGAACCGCAAGGCGGCCAGCACCTGGTGCTTGGACAGCAGGACTTCCACGATCTCATCGTTCGCCGTCGAGAGGCGCTGGAGAGAAGCCCGAGTGAGTGCCAGCACAGCAGACGCTTACGCCCCGGAAACATGGACGCACCTTACCTTCAACATATCCAGCGACAGCTGGTGAGCAGGAGGGTAGAAGCTCTCCAGGGATAACAGCAGGCACGCCTGAAAGACAGGTTTCCGGCCTATTCAGCACAAGGTGCTGGACGCTGTTAACGACAGAGTAACCCTGGCGGCACCCACCAGAGGCTTGGAGTCGCTGAGCACGTGGTACTGCAGGAGCTGGTGCAGCGTGTAGAACAGGTTGTGCTGGACCAGCGTCTTGATGACGAGCTCGTGCAGGTAGTGCTATGGCAGACAAGGAGACAGGGCTCAGGTGTGGCGGGGCTGCAGCTGCTCTAACTGATGAGCTCCCGTCATTGAAGGGGCCCGTGTGCGGGGGAAGAGCCCAGCCTCTATGACAGGGCTCATCCTGACTCAGCACCACGTGGCGGGTCAGGAAATGGCTCGGACGCCGAGTCAGGACAGCGGGCCCTTAGCACGTAGACGGCATCGTAGTCAGGATAGGGACAGTGCTGCTGCCTTAGCGATCCCTGCTCCTCTGACCCGGAGGTACCTGCACTGGAACCTGGAACTGGTTGAGAGAGCGAATGTACTCCATCAGCACGGCGATCACAAACTTGGGGGGCGTCTCCTGGGAGAAAGCAAAGGTGGTCTTAGGAGCTGCAGGAGCTCCCGTGGAATTCCTTTATTCCTGCCCCTTTGCCCTATTAAACTGGCCCAGGGCTGTGTGGCAGGTTTTGCACAAACCCCCTCAGATTCTCCCTCCTCAAGAACATGTTTAGTTCTGAGTGTTAGAGGCCAAACTACCAGCATAGGTCCTCACCAGAATACCAGCTATTCTGAGTCCTAGTTCCCCTCAAGTCCCTCCAAGGATCTGTTCTGAGAGCCTTTGTCCAGAGCAGCTGACGGCAGTCACTCACCTTCTTCTCCGTCAGTGCCGACAGCACGTGGGTGTACATGTCGGACTGGTCGATCACGGCCTGGGTCCGCACCGGCCTGCGGAGGAGCGGGCTGCACCGGCTCTGCCCAGCTTCCGCCGCCTACACAACACATTACAGGTGTCACCGCCACCACCTCCAGGTAACGGCGTTGGCAGTTAATCCAAAAAAGACGGAACTCCGAGATGCTGTGAGCCTCAAGCCTGAGCAGGGGTGACACAGGTCACAACTTGGACGGAGCTACTTCCTCTGCTCTCTGGGGCAGAGTCTACTCGAGAAACAAGTCAGTTGGTCATCTTGACAAAACCCATGTTCACGGTGGATGGAGCTACCAGCATAAGCATCGTCTTCTCTTAAGGGACAGCATCCTGTTTTTAACCCCGTACCGACTCCCTAATTTTCTCAATCACAGTCACCCTGTCCCTTGTTATCTAATAAAAATGAAATGGCACCTGTGCTTTATGAAGCCTTAATCTTAAAGGACACACTTGTGTAATGAGTCTATGCCAGGGGTGGGCAAACTTTTTGACTCGAGGGCCACAATGGGTTCTTAAACTGGACCGGAGGGCCGGAACAAAAGCATGGATGGAGTGTTTGTGTGAACTAATATAAATTCAAAGTAAACATCATTACATAAAAGGGTACGGTCTTTTTTTTTTGTTTTATTCATTTCAAATGGGCCGGATCCGGCCCGCGGGCCGTAGTTTGCCCACGGCTGGTCTATGCCTAGACTTTGAATAAGTAAGGCTCCCCAACTACTACTGCCTAGGAAAGCTCCGAGATCAACTCCATCGCCTAACTTTGGAGAGGAAGGGAAAGGGAGAGAGAGAAACATCAATGATGAGAGAGAATCACTGATCACTGCCTCCTGTTGCACCCTACTGGGGATTGAGCCAACAACCAGGGCATGTGCCTTTGACCGGAATTGAACCCTGGGCCCTTCAGTCCACAGGCCGATGCTCTATCCGCTGAGCCAAACCTGCAAGGGCGTCTCCTAACTTCTAAAGCCCGAGACCAGTGCAGACCCTGAGGGCAGGAGCTGGGCGGTGCCCGAGAGCCCGCAGTGCTCAGCAGCGCCAGGTGCTGCAGGGCTGCAGACGGACCACACTCCACCAGCCAGCGCTTAGGAAGCCAAGAGCCACAGAGCAGGATGCACAGAAACTGCCACCAGACTGCCGACACCCACAGAGCAGCAGGACCGAGAGAAGGAGCGAGACGAGCTCAGCCTCCCCACCTGGCGGAACCGCGTCTGACGGGCAGGACCCACAGCTCCGAGCCTCGGCCACTGCAGTGCCTGCCATCCTGTTATCCTGTTGTCACTGAAGGGGGGTGGGGTGCTGGCCTTTCTGTTACTGCTTAGAACCTTCCATTTCAGCTTGAGGACTAACTAGGTTCTTTAAGTGAAATCACTCATTCCACTTATCCTAACCCCTTTTCTGTCTGGCTTCAGAAGACGGGGTGCACTAACGTTATGTAGGAGAGGGAGAAAGACATGGCAAATGGTTCTACTTTTAATTAACTAAGACTAGGCTCTGGCTTGGTAGAAACATGTATAAAAAAGTAATGCCAAGACGAGACCAATTTTATCTATAAAATAGAAGACCAAGGATCTATCTACATCTAAGATCCAACAGATGAAACCACAGAAGAGGGGGAGGCGTTGAGGGAGATGGAGCCCCCCGCCAATGGGATGCCGCGTGCTGAGTGTCCTGCCATTTACTGCCCCAAAGTACAACTACCAGGTGGGGGCGGAGGAGCCTCCACACAGCGCCCGTCACTCACCGCCGCGTAGCTCTGCTCGGCGTCCAGGTACCTCTTGTACTCCTGGTTGAGCTTGTCGAAGACAGTGGCTACCACGGGCAGGGCCGCTCTGTCTGACCCGCTCAGCACTGGGAAGAATCCATGTGCACAGGTCAGCCAGCTCCGCCTGCAGCGCACGCTGCTAGGGCAGAAGCACTCCCCCCAGGCCAGCAGCACACACGTGCCTTAAGGGCACCCAGAGGAGCGTCCAGCGTGGAGACCTGAAGCCCGGAGCTCACAGGCCCTTTCTGGCTCCTGGAGAGAGTAGCTGTGACCGTATCAGTGAGATTTTCAATGTAGATGTTAGGGAGGCAGAGACTTGGATTCTGAAAAATGTTTGCTTTAAAAGGAGGGGCGGGAGCCCCGACCCCCACGTGCGCCCAGGCTCAGACTCGCTTTCACCTGGAACCATCCGGTTTACTCTCTGGTCTTTCTGCCCAAGTCCCCACACGGCATATTCATCTACTGATTTCAGAGAGGGAGGGAGAGACAGAAACATCACTGATTGGGAGGCAGCCCCCAGACAGGGAGTCCAACTGTGACCTCCTGGCTCATAGGTCGACGCTCAACCACTGAGCCACACCAGCCAGGCACTACAAGTCCTTTTTCTGTTTAGCAGCCTTTCCGGGGGCGTAAGTCACCCACCCTTCAAGTGAAGAGTGGGCCACAGGCTGCAGACAGGCCTGGGAAGGTGGGGCAGCACAGGCTGGACTCAGACGACAGGAAGGAGCCCCCCTTACTCTGGGAGCAGACGGCCAGGATGACCATCTTGCACTCCTTTCTCTGGAGGAGAAAGTCCATCAGGCGTCCTTTGTCTGGCAGGAGGTTGACGATGGGCTGCAGCTTCACCTGCAGGTTCCAGAGGTAACCTGGGTTCGAGAGGCAGCGATGTCATTGTATGACGCGAACCAGAACAAAAACCCAAAAGTACTGCACAGCAGTCGATGGCTTTTTCTCACAAACCGAAGCCCAGTCTAGGACATGCAGGACATGCTGACAACAGGACTGACAGCCAAACTACTGCGTGCCCGGGAGACACCTGGCAACCACGCACCCTCTATGTTCAAGCTGCATCTCCCCAAATACGGGGGCAACAGGCACTCTCCCCTCTGACCCACCTTGGCTTGCGCTGATGATGATGTCAGGCTGAAAGACGATCCAGGACGAGGAATCTGCAGGCTATAGGAAATTCTAGCCCCGAAGTGATGGCAACAAAAGGCAAACCCGCTCTGATTAAACTTGCCCCTACC